AAAATTTTTTATTCATAAAAATTGATACATCATCATACTCAATAAACCCTAACGAAATAAACAGAGACAGGGAATGACCGATGCGGAACCTTTTTCGCTCTAGATATTTCAGTGACGTGCCACGTAACGGATTTGTTGTCTATCAGCTTTCTCTCCTTACCCATAAGAAGTAACTAAGTAAACGATGTTGTAAGTTAATCCGTTGCAGCTGTACCCTTGTTTTTCTTTTCTTCCTTTTTTTTTTTTTTATTAATGGTGCATCACATTAATATCGCTCTCTATTTTTCTATGCCGCATATGGAAACATAAATACTTGCATATATATTTATATCTAAATCTTTAGATAATTATCTTAAAACGTACCTCCCCTATCCTTCTTTTTTTCTTCCTCGTATGGAATAGGTCTCACTGTCAGTGTCAATTTTCCCTATGCTAATTTTGTTTACTAATGATTAAAATTATATCGTAAGATACAAAGATAGAAGAAATATGATTTCTGAAATAATAGAATGTCTTTTCTCTCCAATCCTTTCGTATCCTCGTTCAAGGAGATCCGAGAAGGTTTCTGGTTCCTGACTGTTAAAAGTGAAAGGAAACGAAACACGCGGCAGATAATGTAGCAAGGCCATCCACAAGACAACTGGCAGTGTAGGTTACCGCCCTCAAGATACGTTGCAGTATTGGCTTGTACGACCCTCGACTACACTCACACACATACATATATACACGCTCACAGTTGAACACATACACGTCTCTCCCTTTCTTGCTAGTCGTTCTCCAACATTCTTTTCCTTTTGCCAATTTTTTTTAGATGTACTTCTTCTAAGAATAGTATGCATTACCTGATACTCTTCCACCACCTTTTACTTTTCGAATATCTGTCTACAATATACGCGCATAAAATATTTTCTTTTTTCTTTCATCGAATTAACATACATACATCGTAGTTTCACTCTATTTCCTAACATCTGTTACGATCAAACACGTTCTTTCTCTATTCGCATTCCATTTTAAATAAATTCAAACTTTTTCTTTAATAATCTATAATTAATAACGATACAAATAAATAATCTTTTTTCCTTTTTTCTTCTTCTTCTTCTTTTTTTTTCTTTTTCACATCATTTCTCAATTTTATATATTTAGTATAAATAATATTTTTAGCTTTTATTGCCATTTATTGTAAATTTGAGCTTCGAGAATGTTGATACGATAACAGCTTCGTTATGAAAGATTACAAATTGAAAAATGTCTTATCGATTTTCATAGAAGTATACGTAAACGAATTTTTTTTTTTTACACCCGATCTATTTCAAGGCATTACATCGATAATTGATATTGCGTAGAATATCGACAAATAAAAGATAATAAAGATTAATTTAGCTTATGTTGAATTTTTGAGAAAGGATATATACGATTTATTTTCGATGAATTCTTTGTAAGTTGAGCCAAAGATTTCGGTAAAAGAAAAAGTCGTACGTCGACCTCGCCATTGACACAGGTAAGTTCCGTTATATTTTGGTAATAGCGTAGCTCGATCGTACGTACTATCTTATTTGATTATTATTACTTCCCCTCCCCCCCCTCCTTTACGTATCCTCAATTTTTCCTATTCCAAAATCTTTGAGAAAGCCCGACACAAAAGAATTTTTATTGATTTATTTATCTATTTATTTATTTATAAAGAAAAAGAAACATATTCAGAAAATGTTCAAAGAAATTATACACATGATTAATGGTCAATGTTACATTAATGTAAAAAGGAAATATGTTTGTTCTAAATGAAATTCTATTACACAATACCTATGAATTAATATAAATTGGGAATTTTACATGCATATATCATGAATCAGAATTACGTTTCGTCGAATAATTGCATCATTAGATTGAAACAAACTTTCCTACTTTTTTTCCTACTTTTTTATTACCGACGAATAAACTTTCCAAAATGAAAAAAGAAAAAGACAAAAGACAGAACTGACTTATGGATCATCGCGTTAAATCTATAACGAGTATGATTAATTTTTATGACTATATATATATATATATTTTTTTTTTTTCGATTAAAAAAAAAGAGAGAGAGGGAGAGAGAGAGAACAGAAATAATACTACTCACGTTTGATAGCCTGTTATAAAACGCATTGCTACGCATTGAAATTCACTATCAATTAAATGTTACAATTTGGTTTCTTCTATAAGTACATTTATGTCCGAGTGAGACAAGAAGGCATGATAGATATAAAGAAAATTTTTGTCAATGTGTCATGCACAATGTGCGAGTGGAAATTATCAGATCAACGCGAGTATAATCTATCTATTTATCGAAGATTAATTTACACCGTATCTGATATAATCCTTTGATATCGCTGCACATACATATATCATCTCTTCCTTCCTATCTAATTTCATTTTTTTTTCCTTTTACTTTTTTCTTCCTTTATGAAACATTTGTTCATCATAAAAAACAAAATGTAATTCCCCGATATATATAAATCGAGTGTGTATGTGTGTGTGTGTATCTAATAAGTTCACCGTGAAAAATTATGATTGCAATTAGAACAACGAGAGAATAGAACGTCGATTGATTTCTGATTCATTTCAAAGCAATGCCGGATGTATCGTACTCGAGATAGAGATGTTGTTAGTTGAAAAAATAAAAAAAGAAAAAGAAATATAGAAAAAAAAAGAGAAATGAGCGAATGAAGGAGAGAAAGGTAAAAAAACACAGCAAGTTGTTGAGACATGAATATTACGACGACGGTCATCCAGTAAAAATCTCGACGATGACTATAGTCATCGACTTCGTATAAAATTACGAAATAGAAATAGAGAGAGAGAGACAAAGAGAGGGGATAGAAAGAGATAGAGAAATTAACTATTCAAAATATTTCTTATTATCTTAATATATTAATGTTTCCGTATACTCATTCTTCACGCCAATGAAGGTGATCTAACAATGATAATTAATACATTTTATAACGGTGATACCAAAGATAGATATATATATATATACATATTTGTCACAAGCGTTTAAAACGTTAAATGCATTATGATTAGAAAAACTCTCACCTGTTTCAAACGAATTTCTTGACTATGCTTCTGGAGTGATCAAGAACGTGATCGATGTATGAATATCCAAAAATTTTTTCAATACATATTTCGTTATATTTTTGTTATTTTCTCCTTTTTTTTTTTCTTTTTCCTTTATCGTTTCTTTTCTTCTTTTCACTTATCCGATTTTTAATATTAAATCACAGATAGGTGTCAAATCATAAAGATATTAAACACTTAAAGAAAAATCGCATTTTTCTTTTTCCATCCCCCTAGAAACACTATCCGTCTTTTAAACATTTAACAGAGAACGATCACTTTAAGAGTTCGATCACATTGGCGAACGAAGGAAGAATGAAAGAGAAAGATGTACCAGGAGAGGAAATAAAAGATAGATGGATAGAGAGCGAGAAAGAGAGAGAGAGAGAGAGGAGAGCGAGAGCGAAAGAGAGAGAGAGAGAGAAAGAGAGATGGATAAATAGAGAGAGAGAAACAGAGACAGAGATACTTGGTAGCTCTCAAAGTGAAAGTCGAAGTCAGAGGTAATCGCTAAGCGACCGACTGGCGATGGTGGTATTACGGATCTACCAAGAAGGCGTATAGGACGATTCACGAAAGCCCCCGCGTTCCATGCGGCTATGTTAACTTTCACAAGAGAGTGGCATACACAGATAGTAAAGAGAGGGAGGGAAAATAGCTAGTTCGAGAAAGGTAAAAAAAAAAAACAAATAAAAATGAAAAGAATTCCAAATAAAGATATTAATAATAATTCGAGTAATCGTAAGCGTAAACCTATCTATCGCGTCACATTTATATTTACAAATTCTTCTCCTTACGAAGGGCCTATTTTTCAATTTAATATGAACACAACCTTCGAGCCAATAAAGATATCAACTTCTTATCGCGATTCAAGATAACGAATACTTTTTAATATATAAATCGATTCCAAAAGTAGGCTATTACTGATAATAATCTATATATATTTATATATATATATATATATACGCGTAGATTTTCTCAATTATAATTAATAAATATATAATTATTTAATTTTGAACGAATAGAATGTATTAATTTGACATTTCATTTTGATTAGTAAATTATAAAATTATTTCTAATTAGTTAGAATAGATCGTCCATCTGTCGGATCCGATATTCTCTAATAGTTTTCATGAATATTCGAAATATTGAAATATGTTTAAATTGTTTCAAACTAATTATACTAAAAATTATATATTTATATATATATATATATATATATATTATACTAAATGATATTTATCTACTTGTGTATATTCTTATAAAGAACAACTTTTGAATTACACGCCATGATGAATTACGAAACATTACTAATGAACTATGTAAGTTGTGATATTAGATTTGGAAAAGGACTCGACGGTAGCGCCTTCTATCGCGTAATGCAGATTACAACTAACCGCGTAAAAATTAAATGGCGCAACTTATTTTCGATCCTATATTAAATTTACATTATTAAATATTATTATGATTTGTATTCTATAATTTATAGTGGATTGATAATATATTTTTTTTTATTTAACTTATTCGCTTTACATTAATTCCATTAATTATCAAAATGCGTATTTGATATTACAAAAATACTCGCTGTTTGTTATACTAATTATATTAATTAATAGTAGTCATCAACAGATAGTAACATAATATTTTGTTTTTTATAAAATTATAATAGTTGTTTATTCGTAGTATGTAAAAAAGAAAACAAAACAAATACGTTTCTGTTGAATTACTTTAGAATAACGAATTTTATATATATACGCATAATTTCAAATTCCTTAAATATGCAATACAAATTTTGGATGCGATTCAATATTTGTATAGTGTTGGTGATTATTTTAAATGTCTCTTTGTTTTATAATTTTCGCCTAGAGGTCTTCTCCGTCGTACCGCTTTAAACGCCCTCTCTCTCTCTCTCTCCCTCTTTAGTGCTTAATTAAATGTGTAGTAGTAGATACATATAACAATTTATAATACACACAATGACCTGTTTCGTGGTTGGTACTCCTAGAAAGCCGATGAACCTATAATTATATTGTAATCGAATTAGCAAAATCGAATGACGCGAGTAAGAACATTGATAGTGAATAAGGATAGAGTGAAAGAAAAAAATCAAGTTCTTATTACAAAATAAAATAAAATGTATACCAAGAAAAAGATAATTACGAATATTGGATCCTTATGCGAGTGAGAGTGAACGAGAATATTCGGGATTTTTCATAATAGGTGTGGTGCGAGACGATATTTACAATTATTTTTGCCAACTTGTGCTTCTACGTTATTGTATTATGGCACAGTGTGATTTGTGAAAGATAGTACGACTAAAAGAGAAAAATAAATATGAGAAAGTTAAATTTGTCATGATTTCACGGATAGTTTTACATTTTTAATAGGTTATCTAATGTATGCCATCTTTCTCAATACGTGATAACTGATTTTCAAGATAAAGATAGATGTCATAAGTATATGAGAGTTGGCGTTAAACGATTATTTAATTGGAGTGAAAATGCGGCGGTAGTGATGCGTTTAAAGGGGAAAAATAACGCTAAGTCGTTTCATAGCGTCTATAAGGTGCTTTCTCGTATATGTCGTAAGTAACATCTTTAATAATTATTATTTTATATATTTTCTAATATAATTTATTTTTATGCATATAACGTCCACGCGTACCTATAATATTATATAGGAACAGTGGACAAAGTTCAACTTGATGGTTTCATGGCGGATGGTGCAGTACCGCCACTAAAGAATGGGCACAACTCTAATAATATGGGATTTGCTACACAACCTGTAAGTCCAACCTCAGACGCCACTAGTACTGTATACGCAGTGGGACAATATGCGCCAAAAGTTTTGAGAAATTTAAATGGCCAACGATTAAAGAATCAATTTACCGATGTCGGCCTTGTTGCCGATGGTAGCATTATCCATGCACACAGATCGGTTCTAGCAGCTGGAAGTGCTTATTTCAATGCTATGTTTACTGGTGGCCTTGTCGAAGAACAACAAGAATTGGTGGAAATTCATTCTATATCAGCTTCAATCCTTTCGTTATTAATAGATTTTATCTATACTGGAAATGTTGATATTACTGAAGACAATGTTCAAGAATTGTTTGCTGCTGCCGATATGCTTGAACTGGATGAAGTAGTTTCTGGCTGTATTACTTATTTAGAACAACAACTACATTATTCAAATGCCCTTGGAATTTATAGGTAAAATTATTATTATTATGGTGCATCTTAATATATTCCCGAATGGATTGAAATTTTAATGTAATATTTCTCATGAAGGTTTGCAGAAGCACACAACAGGTTGGATCTATTAGAGACTGCCTTACGTTTTATACAAGTCAATTTTCCTCAAGTTTCCCAAGAAGAGGAGTTTTTAGACCTGCCCAAAGAACATCTCGTTCGTTTTCTCAGCAGTGATTTAATTCATATCGACACTGAATTTCAGGTAATCATAATTTCATTTGCAAGGTAAATATTTCAAATAATTACTTAAATCTTTTGTAACAAAAAAAAAAATATATATATATATATACATATTTTTTTTTTACAGGTCTTCCAAGCTGCATACAATTGGATCACTCATGATATACCTGCGAGAAGATGCTATGTGTTTGAAATATTAGGTCATATACGTCTAAGACTTTGTTCGTTGGCACGTTTAGAACGAATAATATTGGAATGTAAAGATGCCAGTCTTATTGTTGCTTTGCGTTCTATAGAAAAGGATTTAATATGTAACAAAGGATGTCTCGTACCTCTTCATGCACAACCTAGACTTTGTGCTAAAAAAAATATTTTGGTAATTGGTGGTTCTAAAAGGGAACAAGCGGCGGATAGTTGGGGCAGAGCTGCTGAAAGCACTTATGAGAGTATTGAAAAATATGATACTTTTACTGGGTATATTAATTTATTGATTTTTCATTTTTCCAATTATTTTTATATTCCTCTAATAATTTTCATAATTATTTCATAATTCATTCTCATAATTGCAGTGAATGGAGCGAAGTAGCACCAATAAGCATAGGACGTATATTACCGGGTGTAGCACTTTTAGATGGTAAAGTATATGTAGTCGGCGGAGAACTCGAATCATGCATCATTGCGAATTGCGAGTGTTACGATCCTCGGGATAATGTATGGACTTCGATTGCTTGCATGGAAGAACCTAGGTGTGAATTTGGACTTTGTGCCTTGGATAATAGCTTATATGCATTTGGTGGTTGGGTAGGAGAAGATATTGGCGGTTCTATAGAAATTTATGATCCAATCACTAATACTTGGACTCTCGAAGGAGAACTTCCGGAGCCACGTTTCAGTATGGGAGTTGTCGCTTATGAAGGTTCGTTTCCAATATATATATATTGTTGATAATACATTATAATAATTGGATACAATTTTTTTTTCTTTTCTTTTTTTTTCAGGATTAATCTATGTAGTAGGTGGTTGTACACATAACAGTAGGCATCGACAAGATGTAATGAGTTATAATCCAGTTACTAGAGAATGGAATTACTTAGCTCCTATGTTAACGCCGCGATCCCAAATGGGTATTACTGTTCTCGATGGTTATATTTATGTGGTCGGTGGTACCAATAAAAATCAAGAAGTTTTAAATTCCGTTGAACGATATTCTTTTGAAAAGGTAAATAGATTTAATCGTGTAATAACAGAAAATTTTGTTTGATTTTATATAATTAGATTACATTACAGAATAAGTGGAGCATGGTGGCACCAATGAATATTGGTCGTTCATATCCTGCAGTTGCTGCAGCTGATAGTAGACTGTATGTTATAGGAGGGGATCAATCACAAGAAATCAATTTTTACCGTACACAGATAACTATTTCTACTGTAGAATGTTACGACCCTCATTTAAATAAGTGGCATGAATGTGCTTCACTACCAACGAGCAGAGGAGAAGCAGCAGCAATTGTTGCACCCTTCTGAGTGAAATTTTAAAAATTGTACACTTCATATTTCGTATACATACACGTGTTCCTCTCTAAATTGCAAATCATATTGCAAGTTGTTAACGCAAGCAAGAGCATACCATGACTAATTGGATGTGTTTAAAAAAAGAAAAAGATCATGTATTTCAAATTATATATTATATTATATATATATATATATATATATATATATATATATATATATGTGTATGTGTGTATATATATAATATATATAACATTTTCCTATATAGACTATGCCTACGTAAATTTTAAGTAATTGTAATACATAATAACTTCCTTTTGTAATATAAACAAAGTGCTAAGCGATTTGAAAGAAAAAAATAAAAGAATATTCTATTAATGTGGCTAAACAGAAAAATATAAGAGGTTGCATTAATTTTATCAATGCTCCTTATTACTACAACTGATAATGTTACTCATAAAAGAAATTTCCAAATGCTTTAATAGATTTATTAAAACAAATGATTTTATTAGTTGTAGAACGGACTGATGACATTTATATTACATATACTCATCTACCAAAGTTATAATATTATTCTACTGTAAATTTGTCAAGCCAAAATAAAATATAAAAAAAAAAAAAAAAAAAAAAAAAAGAAATATAATAAAGATTATATCACGAAGGAAGGTGTTATATAAAAATACTCGTTAATTGCGAGTGTATTTACGAACCTATTTCCATGAATAAATATATGTACGTTTTGCTTCTCTTTAATGAATCACGCATTCGATCTCACTTTTTGTGAGTCTACAACTGTTTAGCATAATATTGCTTATACAGCTGAATTTATTTAAATTGGAAGGTAAATGTAAATAAAAACTATACATTTCTTATACGATCTTTGTAATATAATGACTAACCACCAATGACTAAATCGATTTTTCCATGAATCCTTTTTTTACTTTCTTTAGAAAATTATATTTCTAAATTGTTCATTCTCAATTGTTTATCGCTTTGTGTCCCTTTAAATAATTTTCAAAATATAAATAATATATAGATATTACAAAATTTTGTTTATGTAAAACATAGATAATCATCGGATTCTAATTTTCTTTTTTTTCTATTTTCTCCTTTTTTTTATTATTTAAAATTGTCGACATTATTATTTACATTACTTTTTGCCTACTCATTTAAAAACTGATACTACACATTACATGTTAGACATACTTATAATTTCTTAAAATATTAAATTGCAACTATTCTACGTTTTACAAAGTGTTAATTTAACGATCAAAGAGTATACCTGTTTTAAGGCAATAATTTTAACTTGCTCTCTTTATAATTGAAAATATAAAAGTACGATAATTAAAGTTGTAAAATTTATCTAATAAAATTAAAATAATAATAAATAACAATATCCCTCTTAAAGAAAGATCTAATAATTTTGGTATATATTTTTAAACTTGCTTAAGGATCTATGAAATTTATCATCATTAACGAATCTAAAACTGTTTTCTTTCTAGCATAGGAAATATTATTGCATTCTCTACTGATAGCATTATACATGTTTTAATGAATTTCTTAATTTGCTTGTACATTAAATATCCATATATATAATACATACACATATATATATATATATATATATGTATTGATATATATTGATATATACTCTATACACATACATGTGTGCTCGAATTTCTATACTGCGCACACATTTGACGAATACGCGTTACACAAATAACGACGCAAAAGATATTAGGCACAATTTTTGTTAATGTCGATAAAAATTTACTCTCATATTCTCCACTAATAACGGAGTAGAACAGTACACTACATACAATGGTTCTTAATATTGTTGCAAAATTTTTATTTGTATTATGCGAAAATATACAAAAAAAAAAATGAGAAAGAGAGAAAGAGAGAAATAGAGAGAAAGAGAGAGATACATCGTTAATTCAATATCAGATAAATTAATGAAAATGAGATATTAAAAAAAAAAAAAAAAAAAAAAAATTAATGATAGAAACAAAAAAATCAATTTTCAATTCAATATTCAATTTTATATCAATGTGCGCGTGTTCTATTTATTAGACAAGTAAAAGCATATTAACATCTTTAAGAACTAATGTTTAATATTTATTCAGAGAAATGAAATTGTTCTTATATATTACATACTAATTATTTTTTACTGAATATACGTTTTCTTAAAAAAAGTGTCAGAAGTGTTAGAATATATATAAAGTATAAAATGTGATTAACAAATTTCAAAAATCATATGCCAACGAAATATGTAATAATAATTTATAATGATTGTTATTTCAAAAAAAAATTTTTCTCTTAAATACTTCCCTCCATAATATGCTGTACATTAATATTTCATTAGAGTTTCGTTATCAATAATAAAGATAAAAATTATTTTATTTACAGCCATTTTATGAATTAAATAAAGAAATAAGGAGGTATAGTATAAAAGATAAAAAGTTTATAGGCTGGAAGCTTTTGAAAAGAAACGTATATTCGAAATATGTCAAGTATACATTTATAAAACTGTAAAAGCAAGTGATTTTTTTTCATTATTATTATTATTATTATTATTATTATTATTATTATTATTATTATTATTATTATTATTATTATTATTATTATTATTACTATTATTATTATTATTATTATTACTATTATTATTATTATTATTATTATTATTATTATTATTATTATTATGACGGGGAGATAACATAAACACATTTCACGTGTTACAATGTATTTTTCTTTTTTTTTTTTTATATAAAAATAGTATCTCCTTTAAAACTTTGTTATATGCAACTTTCGAAATTTAGTTGCGTATACCCTTGTATAGGCTCCTTTCGAAAAAAGATAGAAAAAAAAAAAGAAAAAAATAAACAAGAATAATTTTTCTTTTTTCTTTTTTGTATTTTTCTTTTTTAGAAAACTTGAAAAACAATTTTATCAACCTTTTCGGAGAGAGAGAGAGAGAGAGAGAGAGAGAGAGAGAGAGAAGGAGGAAAACCAGACAGAGAGAGAGAGAGAGAGAGAGAGAGAGAGAAGGGGGAAAACCAGACAGAGAGAGAGAGAGAGAAAGAGATGAATAGAAACAATAATAAAAATAAAACAAGATGATTCACGAAGAATTATAAAACATTCTAATATAGATACAGATAGTTCCCGTGAATTATTTTACTATTATTTATAACTATATGCACGCACATTTAAGTGGCTAATGGTTCCGCATTAATATTAATGCTGCTTTATATAATATCTAACAGCGGAGAATGTATTTTCCTAAACGCCGGAGGGGAAAAAAGATTTTCATCGATATGATGAAAAAAATCAATTTGGAAGATATCATACAAATGTCTTGTTTCGTATAATTACAAATATTATATATGCTGAAGTTCTTTTTTTTCTCTTGAATTTAAAAAAAAAGAAAAAAAAAAAAAAAAAAAAAAAAGAAAGAAGGAAAGAAAATGAATCAAACGAGACTAAGAGTCGCGTAAAGTTCAAGAACGAGTGTTCCTATGGTTTTTATACGATTGGAATTACATAAAAGATCGGATCGTCGGTCTTTAAGAACTTAAATATATACTGAACTATAGAAATATACATATATAAAAATTAAACGCTTTATTGTACATTATTGATAATATCAGTCAGCAAATGATCTCCCATAGAATCTTAATTCTATGAAAATATAGACCGCTTTGCATATTTTCATACATTGCGGACCAGGGTCAATCCATCAATGAAATTTTTTACTTTCATTAATATTTCGATTAATATTTCGAATGAGTATGAAATTTTTGTTTTCTCTCGTATTTGTTTAAAACATCTTTATTTTTTATATTACATTTTATTCCCTTTTAATGGACAAATTATCGATTAAATTGAATTTTGGTATAATTAATCTGTAAACAATTACTACGATATAGAAAATATCTGACAATTAGATGGAAAATAAAGGAAATCTATCGCGACCGGTCCGCAATGTTTAAATACAGCATATCTCCGATATATGCATTTCATCAAAGTTTATTAGCTACATCGTTTAACGTATTTAAGTAAATACTAATGAGAATAAACACATGCATACGCACATAAATACACCCACATACATTATGAACACATTTTCACTGTGTGCTCATAGCCACAAACATTTTTCACGTTTCACAAATGTATAAGTCACAGCCGCATTATACCTCACATGCGGTGCATCTAATAACTATTAAGCAATAACTCTTTTCACATTATTATAATTATCGAAATAAATGGAACTTAATATTAACTACTTTCTTAGGCTGTGAACGACCTTATTAAAATCTAAATACAGATTTTCTGGGTTTGTTCTGTTTTTTTTTTTGTTTTGTTTTGTTTTGTTTTGTGTTTTTTTTCTCTTGTAATAGATTTGTACCCGCAATAACAAGGTTTCCTCATTTGTTCTTTTGTTTTTTTTTTTTTTTTGTTTTTTTTTCTTTTTTGTTTTCTTTCAGATACGCCGTGTAAAGAAGATATTCGTTCTCTATTAGCGGATTCTTTTCATTTCTTTCATATTGTATATAAATGTTAAATAAACCTCGGTAAGGCAGTGACGGTACGTTGGTACGCGTATGGCAGAGGAGGTGGGGCGGAAATATGTCCTTGATGCTGACGAGGAAGCGAAGAACGATTTAGACCTACGGTTCCAGTTGACGGTGAAATATGTTGCAATATATGTGACGTTCCATCGCCAAGATCCAATTCTTGATGTTCCATCAATTGCAAAGCTCCGAACGATGCAGTAGCCATTGCTACATCTGGCATTACTCCGGATAGATGGCCATCGCTGCAAGAGCTATTTTCTTGTTGCTATAAATATTTAAATTAATTTTAATATATATAATAATTTATAACAATTAAACTTATAACAATTAAATAACTTACCCATGATACGAAAAAATAATTATATATACGTGTGCGCGCACACACACGCATACATACATATTATTTACTTTATTAATCTAAATAAAAATTCAATAACGGTTCGTTACCGTTATAATCACAAATTTAAAAACAAAAAAAGAAGATAAAAGAAAAGCAAACAAAAATCATTAACAAAAACAGTTATAAATAGCGTAGAAAATGCGATCCACATCGAGGAATGCACATGAATTGCACCGAATCGAGTTAAGAGAAAGCGTTAAAAGTAAATGACGTTATTTCTTACCTCTACAAGAAGTCTGTTATTCTCTCCTTCGATAACTACGGCCGGAAGTTCGTGTCTATCCGCATAAGATGAAGCCGGCCGAGGAAACGTCATATTCCTTCCATAATACGAAGGTGCGGAAGTTCTCGCGTTAATATCCATATCCGGCGAGTTTATATCTTCAATTCCGGTCATATTACTATCTTGCTGGTTCATAAATGATGCAGTGTTCTGTAAAATAGTTTGAAATTCGTATATGTATAAATGCGTGCCTTATGTTGAGTAATCTGAAATAATATACAGAATATAATTACTATGAAAACGATACATGAATAGAAGAAGAAGAAGAAGAAGAAGAAGAAGAAGAAGAAGAAAAAGAAATGTCACTTGTTCGAAGGTAAATCGATGCATTTAATTCGAAAATAAATCGGTAAGTTCTATATATATATATATATTTGTACATCGATGCACATTTACATCGAATGTACAATTTTCTTTGATACATATTATACAAACAGGACAAATACTACAACGAAATTTGAAGTCCGCTTTGTTATCAATACTCATGAGTAATAAAAGACATGAATATATTAAAAATAATCGTTGTTCAATCTGAAAGGTATATTTACCTTATCTATGCACAAAAAATAAAAAAAAATTATCTAACATATAAGCACTTTGAGTTGAAACTTTTATCAATCTTTTTTTATGTTAAATTAAAAGAATTTCACGCTTATGAAATCGATAATTTTTTTTCTGATATGAGATACATTATTATTATTCGAAATAGCGTTCATTCGTTCTCGATGGAATATGAATTAGATTCACAGCTATAGTAATGAATTCGATAAAATGACGGAGAAGTACATAGTAATGACAATGTCATGACTATGCAGTTCGTGCTTTGGGACGATAATAAATTGCAGCTGTTGCTCGAATTAACGTTAAATAAAATGATCTGTTCCTTTGTCGATGTAATTCTGGCTTTAATTCAGCGAATAACTAGATGGAAGATAGAGATGTCATTAATAGAGCTAGTATGGGGGAAAACAAAGGTCAAAGTCAGACGCGCGTCGAGTAGTAGAGCTTGTCTTTCAGTTCTTGCAGTTCCGTCGTGGCTAACCGATCTGTCATGTGAGTGCGATCAATTACTAAACAATAATTCTCATTACATCTATAATACCACTATTCTATTTTCATTCTCCTCAGTTTTGCTTCGTCAGACGATGACTCCTAACTCGGCTATTTTTAAATTCGCGTATTCATAAAGCGGGTCATTTAAACAGACTCTATTTTCAAATGTCAAACGCTTGAATTTACATTTTTATTTTTCTTCATTAAATTGATTTTCACACGTATATATATATATATACATATAAAAAGAGCATTACCTGCTTCTTTCATATTCCTAATTAAGTTTTACAAAAGATCATTAACTACTTATCTACGTGTAACATTTTATATAATAAGGTTTTAAATAGATCCTCTGACCCACACAGTTTATTCGGTATCCGTACGTCGTGTTAAATCTCTAACAGCAAAGTAAATTACATTTTCACATGTACGTATACATTCTTTCTGTAATAATGTATATAGCACATAATAACTTATGTTTGTCATATTCTATTATATATATATATATATATATTTTTTCAACGAAATTTTATTTAATTTTTAAAAATAAAACCGTATAGGAAATAAAAATGTTCATTTGAACGTTAATAATTATTTACGTACATTTTTACAAATAATCATAAATAATAATTATATTTTAATGTATTTACTGATAAATAATCGCGAATGACTCAGAATACCTTGTATTGTATTTATTTAAACTTATAACTTTAAAATGTGCACCAGTCTTTGTTAATATTCCATCAAAAGCATATGCGCATAACATTCTACTTTACAAGATTAATAAACAACACTAAAAGTGTAAGTTTGTAGTCTCAATAATAAATCTATTATTTGAAATTTACTAATATCTAATATAAGGAAAATAAACAAATTAAATTAAAGTACATAACAAACTATATAATAAACGATGAACTATGCCGTTTATTTCCGCTAATAAGTCGCGCAAACGATTGATGTGATATTAAGTAATAAAAATAAAAAAAAAAAGAAAAAAGAAAAAAAGAAACAAATATAATCAAATTTTCTTCATTCCACGAATAAAATTATTTGAAAATAAAAAAGGAAAAAAGCAAAAAAAAATTATCTAAAACAATCTAAATTATATATTTATTTCTAAATCATTTTTCATTTATGGCAAAAGATCGTATTAGCTTGTTGAAACATTTTTGTCTTACTAAAAAAATTCTATATCGATAAGATAAATACTCACGTAGAATGTATTGCAGTTATACGATAGGTCTTATCCAATCATTAAATTGGTTATTGTGGTTAAATCGCAAACGAATATATGTCATAGATTCTAACATCAAGTACCAACTTATTCATCTAACGTTTAAAAGATAACCATAAAGAGAAAAAGATAGAGAGAGAGAGAGAGAAAGAGAGAGAGAGAGAGAGAGAGAGAAAGAGAGAGAGAGAGAGAGAGAGAGAGAGAGAGAGAGAGAAGAGAAAGAGAGAGAGAGAGAGAGAGAGATAGAAAGATAGAGAGAGATAGAGATGAAGTATCACGATGGAAAATAGTCACTTTATAACTAGGCCATCATTACAAGTTGATTTCTCATATCAATTTATTGACAGAACGAAAAGATCGCTTACGTCGTCAATTACTTCGTGATAGATTTTCTTTGAATATATATTAATTTCACTATGATTAATATCATCCACTAACGTTATTAAACATCATACATTAAACTATATACTTATTAATCTTAATCTTTAATACCCAATAATATAAAATAAATGTATTTTAAATATAATTATATATAATATTAACCAGAATCTCATACAATATATTTCTATAGAGTGATAAATAAGTTTTGTTTTTAGTTTATCGCTTATGTTAAATAGTATCTATCTATTGAATATTCATGTCAAACGCGGAGAACAATACCTATTACTTTTGCTAGAGTAATAGGTCTCATTTTTTATTCATTCGGAAGTAATACAAAAGAAATCGTTTATATGTGCATGATAATACATTTCCGATAATATCAATTTATCTATTTATCAATCTTTTTAGCATCAAGTGAAATCAACTAAAATTTTTAATTAAATTTAACGATAATATAAAATATCTTCAAAAATTACCATACTAGTATATGTGATATATATATATATATATATATATATATATATATATATTGTCTTTTAAAAAATATTTATACAAAAGTAAATGTAATAATCATTGATATTTCATCATTCCTATCGTATTTACCACTCCCAGTCGATTTTTTTAATCAGTAAACATTTTGTATTAGTATGATTTATACCGTTGGATAAAACTTTACTTTCCCTATTGTTTGTTTTATTCGAAATCGGCTTTGTTACGACATAAGAAAAAATACACTTCCTTCTTATATTTCATAATATTTTAAAAAATATTAATTCTCCTGTACTTTTATCATTTTTATTATTATTTTCGTTCAAACATGATAATAAAGAACGACTATATGCTTCTTTATAGGGCAAACATGTGCGAACTAGAAACGTCACTACCGATAGAGGACTTTGAAGGACTTATAAAACAATCTCTTGGTTCTGGTGTAAAAATAAAAAATGTAACATGGAAACATTTAACTGATCCAGGAGAAAATTTTGGCAGTTTGATATTGGGTGTTACCATCAATACTGTAGAGAATTCTTCTTCAAACGCATTGAACGTAGTTGTAAAACTTCCACCAAAATCCGCATATCTTATGGATTTATTTAACAGTCCATTAACATTTAAAAAGGAATTAAAGTTTTATAGTGACATTGTCCCGGCTTTAAAGGACATTTACCGTTCGTATAATTTACAAGAGGAAGTATTTGTACCACACTTCTTTGGCGGAAGATTAGGCTTAAAAAATCCTAATGAATTTGATTCTCAGGCTGTCATCATTTTAGAAAATCTAGTATCATCCGGTTATTCGGTACAAAATCGAATTATAGGAATGGATATAGAACATATTAAATACGGTGTTAAAGAATTGGCAAAGTTACATGCAATGATCATCGGTTTAAAAGTAAAGAGACCAGATTTCTTTGAAAACTCTGTACTACCGATTTTAGTTTCTCCAAATAATGAAACTGCCGTAAAATGTATTATGGATATGATTCATAAAGCAATTGATGATTTAAAACATTTAGAAGAGGCTAAACCATATATGAAAAGTATTGAAGCTACATTAAAATCTACAAACATGACTGATATAACTAACGAAGACGATTTATGGAAAACGATGATACATAAAGATTTTTGGGTGAACAATATGTTGTTTCGTCATGATGCTTCTGGACATATAACTAGTATGAAAATAGTTGACTTTCAACTTTGCATTTATAGCTATGGCGTAGAAGATCTTATATTTTTTTTAATATCTAGTGCTAAGAAAGAAGTTATTGATAATAACTTAGATGATATGATTGATTTATATTACGATTCCTTTATCGACGTTTTAAAAATGTTAAAAGTAGATACGGAACAGTATAGTAAAAGTAAATTTCTGGAACTGTTGAATAAATGTGCACCTATAAAATTTTCACAATGCATTATGATGGTGCAAGTAATACAAGCTTCTCGTACTACTCATTCTGAGGTGAAAAATATGGAAAATACTGCAGAATTGTTTAAAAGAGAAACAAGCAAAATAGGCAATCAGAAATTGTTACATATAGTGGAGACATTTGCAAAAAAAAATTGGTTATTATGATAAAATTATATCTGATTTAAATTATATTTTAAATCACGATATATTGTAGTTATATACAATAAGGAAAAATACTTACGTAATAAAATACTAGGACATTAATATTATATACTAAACAAATTGAATTTCTAAAAGAAATTATACTTACTTCTAAAATATCCGCTACTGCATCTGGTAAATTGAATTCTCTAACGACCCTTAGGCGCACTTGCCTATTAATTTCGCTTCTCGAAGATAAAGGTAGATCTATAGCTCGTAGACAACTTGGGGATTGCCTTAATTTTTGTTCCCGTTTAAGCATTGCAGCCATTGTTGATGAATCTGGCACTAAATATTTTACATAATGTAGTACATTTTAAATATAGTTTATTTGTAAAAAAGAAAAAAAAAAGAAAAAAAAGAAAAATAAGAAAAGAACTATATACAATGTATATAATACATTCCTATAAGATTTGTATAGAATATTATTGGAAATTAATTAATATATATTGAAATATAGTATTTAAATATATTATTTTAAAATATCATATATATACATAGTCTACTTAATTTGAAGTAAAATCGATACAAAAAAAAAAAAAAAAAAAATTAATAATATTTAAAAAGATAATATAAATAAATGGTAAATTAAATACCTGGAAATGCAGCTGCAAGAACATCTACGCCAGCAGTGCCCATAGTTCTTGGTTTTTCGTCAACCATATATAGCGCATCCGGTATATCCGCAACATATCGTGTTCTTTGCAATCTAACAAGATCCGTATCTTGGACTATCTGTTCTTCGACTAAAGACTAAAAAAATGTATGAAATGATTTAATACATATTTAATAAAAAAAAGGTGTACAAATTTTGTATATAGAATATAATGTATTCATACTCTTACCTTAATTTCTTCATAATAAGGCATGAATAATCTTGGTCTGACAAAAAACCCATTCTTTTTTCCACCTCTTATCCAGGCATTTGTATGTATATTATCCCTTCCATCTCCTATCATGTGACTAGGAGGAGTAGAAACTAAGCCTCTTCTGATAGCCTTTTAGAAAATAGAAAAACAATCAATGATTATCATATTTTTAAAGATTTTATTTATAAAAAAAAGTAAGTGTGTATGTGTATGCGCGCGGTAATATAATATATATTATATTATTAATGATTGAAAAAAAATATATCACCTGAGTTAATATTTCACTGTTGTGTGGCAAGATATGGTCAATTCTGACAAGTGGTAATAGTTCACTAAGTATTTCTCGTAATTCAATATCACTAAGATCTTTCTTTTTAACTCCCTTTCTTGTTACAGAGTGTACTGTATGATTTAATAAATTTGGTTCCCTATCTTCCATGCGCCGAACCAATTCATGTTCGCCCCATTTTAAAACAGCCTGTAATATTTCCAGTTCACTTGCTTGTAGAAAATGACTTTGCAAAACATTTACTAGATGGGCATGATCCAATTGATGAAGAATCGATGAAGAAGCGATTGGTTGAAATTCTTCTCTTAAATAATGTAATGCTTGTCTGTGTACCCATGCAGATCCATGAGGTTGACTACCCCATCTATAAAAAAAGAGGATAATTTTTTTTGATTATACTTACATACACATGTGATTATATTGTAATTTTTTTTTTTTTTTTTTTTTTTAATAAGCTTACTTGAGTACTGTAGGAAGTGATTCTAATGTCAGACAATCTAGAATAATATCTTCACAGCCTTGAGATAATATATCTAACTCAAGAAATCTACCAATTTGATATAATTCCATTGCTTCTTCTAAAGGACTTGGTCTCATTCTCCCTGTATGAGTTAATGCCTGCACCTATTAATTTATATTGTAATGTATAACAAATATTATATTGTAATAATTTAATATATAAATAATGTAATTACCTCACCAAGACTACCAGCACTATTTCCACAACCATTACCTCTCAATATTAATGAGAGATCAACGGTATCTAAATAGACAGCATGTAATAGAACCCTAGCATATCTTTTCGGTATTACACTTTCATCCAAAATTATTCTAGTAGGTATATGTAGCGTTCTTTCCGTACGATCTTCTCCTGACTTAGTACGTCTTTGTATCAAATTTCTAAAAAATGGCGACCTCGCAGAAAGTATTGCTTTATGGCATGGTAGCTCTAATTTTGGTCGAAATCCATACTCAGAACACCCACTGTCTGGCCTTTGACAATCGCTATCTGACGTAAAAACTAACGCAGCATCAGCATAATCACCGGTATCAAGTAAGTATCTAAGATCTTGTTCTAAAGGATTCAATGTCCCAAATTCTTCGCCAAGTCGTTGTAATATATTTGTTCCAAATGTTGCATCATGTGGACAAATATCACCAGTATAGAGGTATCGTAATAAAGCAGAAAATGTCTGAACTTCTAAATTAGGTGTTCTCAAATCTAAACATATTCGAGCACCGTAACCTATATACCAAGAAAGTAAAATAATAAACGTGTGTATTAAATGTTATTATTAAAATAATTTTTAAAAAGAAAAGATTTTGGATATGTACCAGGGTATCCTGCTAATAAATCCCTAAAATATGGACAACGTGCGGATAATATGGCCCTATGAACGGGAAAGCATGCACCTTGATAGACAAGATCGGCATCGGAACACTGCTTGTAGTCATACAGTAATGATAAATCTTGTTTGAATGTAGCAGCTGGAGGTCTGGCTAATTCTGCTTGAACATGAAGATCTTTTAAAGCAGCTAAGGCTTCGTATTCTTCTAAAAGTGCTATTGCTTCTAAATGACTCCATGTTGATATCATGTCTCTAAAAATCCTCCCGTGATCACATACTTTAGACGAACGACGTTTTCTAATAAATTTTTTACGCAGTGTAGCAAATCCTGTCATTTTCTTTTTTCTTTCTCTATAATGAAGATATAAACAGATTTATTATATAACCAGGCTTATTAGACATTTTGCATTTAAATAATATATTTAATACCTAATTGCAAGTCCATGTTGATCATAGTGGCCAGAAGGCGAAAGCCTAGCTGCTTGAACTGAATCTCCACCAACACTTGCAACACTTGAAGATGCGGATGCACCCATTCTATGGATCATATGAGAAGCATCTTCTCCCCATCCACTCATGAACCAGCAACTTCTTTTATTATCACTATTTGTTTCCCTTGTTTCTCTACTTTGCAATGCACATGGAGTTAAAATCCTCAATACATTCATAGTTCAATTACCAACCTGAAATTATCATATTAAAAGATTTTGACAATTGTTTTAACGTTTACATATAACAATCATTTTTTCTTATCTATAATTCTTTAACAATGACGTAAATTAAAATTAATAACAAAATCGCATAAATAAAAGCAAAATAATCGTATAAATAAAATGTATCAACTATATATAAAAATGTCAGCAAAATATTATTTCTGAAATAATAATATAAATAATATATAAAAATTACAAATAGAATATCTAACAGAATTGTGAACATTTGTTAAGGAGAAAAGAAATTCGTAAACTTTTTGAAAAATTAAATGTTCTATTAGAAAGCATAACAATAGAAAAATCATATTAGAAAGTATATTACTTTGTAAAAACAAAACAATACCTTATGTTCTGTATTATAAAAGGAAGTCTTTTATCGGTAATATTATCGTCGAAATTTTTTCTTTCGTATTTATGTTAAAGTTAAAGAAAAAAAGATAATTTTTCTATACTATAACACGTAAACATATTTCGAATGTTTAAATGTTTAGCATTGAAAGAAACTAAATCCATGACCCACATCTGTGTTAACATGCAAACATTCGTAATTATTAACAATCAAAATTAATTTTATTACCTTAATCCTTCTTAAACATTCCTTTCACCCATCATTTCCATGTTTGTACTGTAAGACATGTTTGGATATAAATTGAAGCCAACGATCATCACAATGCATAACGACGGCCATGTTTACACTCAACTGCAGTGTATAGTTTAATAAAAGTTCAAAGCGAAGAGTTTCATTTATATATACACATATCCATGACAAGAATTACCGTTTAATAAAGCTATATCGATGTAAATTGATATATAGATTTATCTGATAAACTTTGTTTTATTATAAATACGATATAACTTAGCACGAATCAGCTGTTCCATTTTTTCACAAATTATTATCGTTCTACACCGTATATGTACTATGTTACGAAGCGATGCTTCGTTAAACATAGGTTACGCCTTTACCGCCATCTAACTCAGTTTACCTAAACAGTAACCAAGTGGTAATAGGTATTAGACAATATTATATATACCATCAAATATATATATGGATTTGCACGTTCGATGAATCCGAATAATGCACCTGTTAGTTCGATTGATTTTATTTAAGAGAGAGAGAGAGAGAGAGAGAGAGAGAGAGAGAGAGAGAGAGAGAGAGAGAGAGAGAGAGTGAGAGCGAGAGAGGGAGAGAGAGAGAGAAATATATGAAAGAGAGAAAAACAAACTTTTTCAAATATCACAAAAACAAATTAGAACTGAAGAAACTTTTTAATGTATTATTTTTAATAGAACTTAATATACCTTTAATGACAATAAGAATAATTCAAATGCATACTTATGCAACGTCGTATTCCGAATTGATAAATTTTTTTTTAAATTGTTCATCATCCCTAATTTTACAATGATTCGCGCCAACAATGAATACAAACGTAATTCTTGAAAGATTTCGATGAACAAGATCTCATTTTAAAGATGAAGTTTTGAGCGAGGACATGGTATTATAGAATTTTTAAAAAAAACTTTATTTTCTTTAAAAAAAAATTGTTTCAAGAAATGATGTTTTTTTCTCGGGAATAATTTATCTATAAAAATAATGTTTTTTTAGAAGAATTCGATAGACATGTCCTTCGTTAAATCTTTATCTTTAAAACATGACCTTGTTTATAAAAATCGATTAACAATTACAATCGGACTGTTGGCGTAAACGTTGTTTTCCATATTTTTCATGGAAAAAAAAAAGTTTTCGTATAGTGGCGCCTCTTGAACTTTGCGACAAATAGAAGAAACTCGTAGTCCCACTACTAATTTTCATATAAACGCTTTTTGAATGGTATGTGTTTTCTTTCCGTGAAGTAAACAATTGCTTCCTCGTTTATATGCGTAAACCAATTCATAGATTTTCTGGTCCATTCCAAACGCAAGGAGGAAACACATTTAACGATGTTTCTCGACACAGAGAAGCTATAAAATTTATTCAAACATTTTAATGAGCTTTTAAAAGATAATTCTATGATAAAAATAAGTGCCATTTAAGTTTTATTTTTTGAGATATTCTTAAATTTTTTTTAATAATATCTCAGAAACACGCTATAAATATAAAATAGAATTTAAATTAATATTTAAATAGAATTATAATTCGACCGCGCGATCATTGTTTGTTTATGTAAATAAAAACGAACGCTCTTCACTGGCTTTGACTGTTATCAAAACAGTTTTCTTTTGAATGTCAACGAGTAAAGACCTAAGCAATCTCTTTCCAAAGGTATAAGTTTAAATAAATCATACATTTAATTATTTTAGAATTATTTAAATAATTTGTAAAGTGCACGGAGTATTCTATTTCATATTATATCAATAATACTAATAATTTTTAATTGAATTTCTCATTTTCTTTTACTTTTTTAAATTTATTAAATTAAATTAAATTCAGAAATTGTATTTTTCGTAAGTAATACACACACGCACGCACACACACACACAGACATTTATTTTCTTTATATCTTTTCTTCTCTTTAAAATCAAATGCTATTAGAGCCATTAAATTAAAGATTTTTAAAATTCAAAAGCAATTAAAAAGTAAACATTATTCCTATATACTCTTAAATGGAATAGATTTTGACTACATATTTCAGTGCATTTCCCAAAATCTTTTCTTTTCAATTTTAACGAAATACTAAATTGTTAATATTTTACATTTCTATTCACATATCAATGGATAAATAAATTGGATATAATAGAATTTTAAAATAATTTCTTAGAGAAACGCATTGAAAAATTCTTATTTCTTTATTATTCTTTATTATCTATATTTTTAACTTTGTATAATTAACGAATACTTGTCGATTGATCTATCTTCAAAGAAAAATAAAATTTAGTATATGATAGTTTCTTGCTTTTGTCATATGTAATACTATTTTTAATATATAGAAAAATTTCTTTTACACATTAACTCAATTATTAGCTTACACGTTAGACATTTATAACCTATACAAGGTTATATATCGATGCGATAGACAAGATGATCGAGAAGACAATGTATCCCTATTGCGCTTGTAGTTCGTATTTTCTCCGTACCTGTCGCTGAAGTCGCATACGCTTAGAAAAGATAATGAACAGCCTTAAAATTCAAAATGGCTATACGTTGTTCTTTGTTAGAAGTCGCGCGAAAATATAAATACGTTGAACGCGTTCGGAAAATCATCTAGAAGTGTTCGTTCTTCTTATTGGACAGAATGTCTCGCTCAATGACGTAAACAAACAGAGAAGAAAAGATGACGCAGAGAGAGAGAGAGAGAGAAGGAAATGTGAGATGAGATCATAAAAAGTGATGTCATCACGACACGCAAGGATCAATCTTTTTTTTTTTTGCATTATTCGCATCGTTGAATCTTTGAATAGAATTTAGGCGTACACGTGCCTAATAGGATATATACGTGTATATAATACATTCAAAAGCGAAAGTCACTAAATAATTACATATGTATATATATATGTATGTATGTATGATATGTATATATATATATACGTGAAAGCAGGCCAAGTCCACATTTAGGATGAAGGCTATTAAGAAAAATGGGGCAGTCGTGATACGAAAAGAGGTCTTAAAGTTTATACATAATAGTAGATGGTCGACATACGGATTGGAGAGTGAAATAGGACAGAAATAGAATTAAAAAGAAAAAAGGAGAAATATATTAAATACAACGGGACAACCTGACAGTCGATTGGTTTTGGCGGGAGATTATCCCGCCTTTGGCTAAGACATGTGCGATTATAACGTGCTCGATTGTCACATGTCAAACATTGGAAATTATCATATTTGATAATACATATTGGAAATTATTATATTTTGATAAATTGTCCAATAGAAAGAAAAGGAAAGAAAAGAAAAGAAAAAGAGAAAAAGAATTAAAATAATTTACAAGATATTTCTATCTGTATATGATGTTCTCGTGATGCATTTGTTAACATCAAATTCATCGATATTTAATCTTTATCAGGAAAGATAGAGAATGTAGATATGAAATTGATGAAAATCTATTCTATTAATAATGGCGTCCTGAGGTAACGTGTGGAATTTCGTAGAAAGGAAGATTTTCTCTTTAGTTTTATTATAAATGTCGTGAGAATATCTTCAAAAAGGAAGGAGTGTAGTGATAATGTGCTATCGTCGATGAAAAAAGAAATAAAAAAAGAAAAAGAAAATTATGTATATAAATGCATTAACAAATAAAGAATGGTGAGATTTAACGTGTTAATCGTTGAGCATAAATCTATGAGAATCGTCGTAACTAGGCGTATCTCAGTTGTTGGAACAACGTTTTTCAACGTACAGTTGTATTTTTAATAAATTCTTGAGACGCAGTCTCGTAATTTTATTATCTTTTTTTTTTCTTCTTTTCATCTTTTGTGCGTGTACGCGTTTATTTCATTCGTTTCTCATTAGAAAATATTTTCTTTCGAGATTGCATATTATCGATCGTCACGAATATGGATGACGCGTGGCGATCAACGTATTAATATGAAAAAGAAGTATTCGTGAGGCGTGGTGGATAATAATTTTACATAACAGTGGGTAATACACGTTTAACAGAAATATCGTTCTCCTGGTACCGAATGAAACTGGTTTGATCGCTATTTCTGCACGAGGTGCAGGTGGAGAACAGTGACCTTTCGAATAGTGTGTCAAGTTCTCATCGTATAAAAAAAGAAATAAGGGGTAAGGACATTTTACGATAAGGCACCTGCTACGATGCGATCGTTCCATTGGTGAACGTGATTTTTCTTTTTTCCTTTTTTGTTTCATTTTATTTTTCTACCCTCTTTATACTTTCCTCACCCTTTTCCTCGCTGAATCATTTTTAGCATTGAATTTATAAGAGTAATTCGTAGAATATTTTTAAAATTAGAGTTACCTGCACTATGTTTCTATATCCATTAAAATTGTCATGAAAATTGAAATTTTTCCAAATGGTCGATGTATATGACAAAAATATGTCATGTCATAAAGCAGTCATAATTAAATAAGCACTTGTAATATTTTCGTAATAATCAAGTCATAATTAATACTTTTGAAATTTTATCAATATATTTGTGTTTATTCATGGGTGAATTATTATCTCGTATTATTTTATATATTTGCTCAAAATAAATGTCAAATCTATATGAAGTTTGTTTAATTCTCATATTTTTAAAAGAATATTTTATATATTTATAAATAATTTTGAAGTGTATTACATATAAATATATATATCATTTACAATTTCTGTTATAGTTATCTACATATGTAATTGTTTTTCAATTTAATATCATATTAGATAGTTGATTTTATTTATATATGTATATGTAAAATGATTACAGTATAATTTACGTGTTATAGAAAATGTCAAATGATGTATATACAGATATATGGTACGATGTTATTCCACTTCACCATAGGCCAGAATTAGTTAAAGAATGTTGTAAATTGCTCAATACAGAATGGCCAAGAAGTGAAACAGCTCGGTATGTTATTTTAATATCTATTAACATTAAAATCGAATTAATTTTACTTAAATATTATGTAAAGCAACATTCATCATTTCATCCTTATTAGCGTTTTCTCTCTCTTTTTTTTTTCTTTTTTTTTTTTTTTTTTTTATTGTAGACTAAAGTCTTTGAAGGTATCTTGCGACGAGTTTCCTACATGTTTGGTTTTATTAGATAGAGAAAGTCGAGTTCTTGGCCATTGTAAAGTATCTTTGATACCTAAAGTACGTCATAGCTGTTACATTGAATCAGGTAAAGTTTTGAGAATGATTACTTTTATAAGAATATAAAATTATTAATGCAAACATTTATAATTTATTTTTTTATTTTAGTTGTAGTCGATTACAAGTCCAGAGCTCAAGGATTGGGATCTAGATTGTTACGTGGGACGGAAGAATATGTGGCAAGGAAAGGTTTCAAAACAGTATACTTGATAACAAAAGGTCAAGAACTATTTTATATTAAAAATGGATATACGATTTGTGACCCCATCGAAACGTGTGGATTTAGAAAATTTCTACCTCCTACTACCATAGTCGAAGCAAAACATAAAGAAAAAAATACACTTTTTTCTGGTCCCCCACCCCCTCCAATGCCACAATTAGTATTTGAATATTTTGATATAAGAATGCTATCTCAAAAAACACACATGGTTAAAAAATTATGATAATTACATTTTACAGATTTTTTCAAAATACCTTTTTGCATTTGAATTTATTATTTTTACGAAGATAGCCAATCACAATGATAATCCTTGATCTTATTCTTGAGTGAATTATGAATAATATATGAGATGATTGATTGATTGTATGTTTTCAAGTATCAAATGTTACATATATTTCCTGCATGTGTATTTTATTGATTTTGATCACACTTTTGAATTCACTTTTATTTGTATCATTATGTATAGGATATTAGTGCATCAATTTTTACATTTAAATATTTAGAAGCTAACAGAAAATTTGTACATAAATAATTTTTTCTGCTTTGTATATATATATATATTAACTATTAATTTTATGATCTTCAAATAGGCATTATAGTAGATTGAAATTTTATTCTGATAATTTGCTTAGCATAATTATATTTTACAACATAGTATATATTTATTTTAATCTTATAATAATTTTATCAATTGATTTTATTGTGCATTTCATTATTTCTTTAAAAGACTAACTTGTGTGAATAATGTACAAATAGATTACAATACTAATAATGTTCATATAATTTTTTATGAGACCATAATTCATGATTATGAGCCAGTTGCAATACCACATACTTTTTGATAATGATTAGATTGTTCAAGACAATCAATAAGAAATGCACCCAAGGCGTATTTTGAAATGGCACGACCTGGGGATTCATCGTGTTTTATAATATATTCTAAATTTTCTGTACCTGCAAAATAATTGCAATAATTATATAATAATAATTGGTTTGATTGAATTTTAAAAGATAAAACAAATGGATAAAAAAATGTTTTTATACTAGAAATATGTGGTGGTAATATGGCAATCCATTTTAATCCACTTTCTTTCAGAAGATCAAACATACGCTGATGATCAGCATTCAGATCTTTGAATATAGCTGGTACGGCATCAGGCTTATAGAATAAAAATGCTATAAAAAAAAAAAAAAAAAAAAAAAAAAAAAGGAAAAAAAAATTTTTTTTTTTTAATTTTATAAATAGTATTTCCGCATGTTTGTGATAACCTTGAAATGATATTTTTACCTGATAAACATACAGAAACCAATTCAATATTGTGCCTCCTCATAGCCTCTATTATATTTTTCATACCTTCCGATAGTACAGTAGTTGGTTCTTATGGTAATTAAAAATAATATTTATATTATATTTAAAGGATTTTTATATTTATATGAATAAGTAAATCTTATATTTACTATAAATTTAATAATAATAATATGATTCTTACTAAGATCGTTTCTAGTGCCAAGTGCAACAACAACAGCATCTCTACCAGCTACAGCTTTCGAAACATCTTTATCGTTGGTAACATCTCCAACAATTATATCCACTTTGTTTCTAATGTTTTCTGGTATCTTGGTATTATCTCTCACAAAAACTCTTACATCCATACCTAAGATAATTCATTTCTCTACTACCATGTATTAAATTGCCATAATCAAATTTATTATATAAAGTAAAGAATTATTAACAAGTGGTTGTAAATATATGATCTTTAATATTTCATAGTATGCTAATATAACATGACAATAGTGACAACAATAAAGTTGAAATGAATAATATGTTGAGATGGATAAATGACACAAAAGCAAATTATAAATATTAAGAGGGCAAATGATATAAACAAAAAATTAATCTTACCATGCCATAAGGGCAAATATTATATATTTATTTTGATTCGATTAAAATTAATAAATATTGACTATCACAATAATTAAGATTCATATTAACAATTTTGACTTTTTACACATACAAATGTAATAATAATAATAATAATTGAACTATTGATTTTAACTTGTTGCTAAGGATATTATTATAACAGGTAAATATATTCTTGTAAATTTTCATTCTTTAAAATAATAAAAACATAGAATCAATGGATTATAATCAAATATATATTTACATTGTAAACAGTATAAATAATTATAATAATAGTTGAAAGATTTTTTTTTGTAATATTATTTATATTATGGATATATATTTATTATTCAAATAAATCTTAAATCTAGCGAATTCATAAAAATTCTTATTTGATTATTGAATAAATTGATCGAATGGGAACATATTATGATATAAATTAATTCAACAATTTAAATTTACGTTACGCAAGAATATTGAAAAACAATGAAATTATGCTTTATCATGCATGATACAAGTAGAAATGTATTCGAAATTTCACTTAGCAATATAACAATAACCTCTTTAATAAATCAATGATATTTTTAATTATACAAATTACCCTTTTCCACAGCATGATTTAAAACACAAAGACCGGTATTTCCCGTAGCTCCGAATATTACAATCCGCTTTGCCATGATTGATATTACAAAATATTTTAAAATATATTTCTTTCCCTTTAATACGGTACGATATATTGCTTTCGTCACACTTTAATATCACGATTTGATAATCACCGACAATTGTACGCAAGCAATTTTGTCAAATCATGTAATGTGATTCCAACAAGTATTAGCAGATAACCATAGCAGACGATAGTAGATAATATCCAAATGAATATGAGATATTTTTTGCGCGCGCCTAGTAACCATTTTTATATCTACTGCGTCATATCGTAATAGCCAATCAGAAAATACCTGTATTATTGCGAAGTTTCTGATTGGTATTTTTAAATAACATGGTCGACTGACTCCAGTTTCTGAAAGTTCTTTCTGAAAGATGTCAGGCAGAATTTTCATTGATACATTATTTTCGATTTTATTTATTAATATATTAAAATATTATCATGCAGATGCTAATCCTACGGCAGAACAGAAAAATGTGCTTCTACTTTTGGGTAAACAAATATATTTTTTTAATTACAGTTATTTACACTTTTATTTTTCTTTTTTCCTTTATTTTCTATAAACTTAATTTCAAATTAAAACAATCGAATTTTTCAACAACTTTTCAAAAGAATATCTTGCTGTGCATAAGAACTATTTTTTTATTTATGTATATATATATATATATATATGAATATATTTTATTTCTTTAAATATTATAAACTAATACGCATACTTCTGTTATTATACATGAGCATTTTCACCATATGCTTTTATAATAAAATATGAGATATTCATTATTCTATATTATTTAGTTGTTTTATTATTTTATTTAAAAATTAATCTAATTTGAAATGAATATAAAATAAATATATATATATATTTTTTTTTTTAATACATATATTTTTACATTTTTTCTTTTTTTTTTTTCTTTTCAGCTGATGATGCTGGGTTTGAAATGAGATCGTACTTAAATAAAATTTGTCAATCACCCAATTTAGATTCCTTAGCAAAAGAAAGTTTACTATTTAATAATGCATATACTTCAGTTAGCAGCTGTTCTCCTAGGTAACATTTTTATTATATATTATAAAAAAATATTCCTCTTTTTCATTCATTAAAATATTATATCTTTTTTAGTCGTGCTGCATTATTAACTGGTTTACCAAGTCATGAAAATGGAATGTATGGATTGCACCATGGAGTCCATCATTTTAATTCATTTAATAATATTGAAAGTTTGCCAAAAATATTACAAAAAAATAATATTAGAACAGGTATATAAATGGCAAAAGTAAAAGAAATTAGAATATTCTAATACAATTTCTAAATAATTTTTTCTTTAGGTATAATTGGTAAAAAACATGTAGGTCCAGAAAATGTATATCCATTTGATTTCTCATATACAGAAGAGAATAATGATATATTACAAGTAGGACGTAATATCACAAAAATTAAACTTTTAGTTAGAGAGTTTCTTTCACAGAATAAAACGCAGTATGTTTTCACTTGAAATGAATTATTATAAAGAGAGTATTATGGTACTAAATAATAAACTAATACTTTACAGACCATTTTTCTTATATATTGCTTTTCATGACCCACATCGATGTGGTCATACACATCCACAATATGGCAATTTCTGTGAAAAATTTGGTAATGGAGATATTGGAATGGGTACAATTCCTGATTGGCATCCAATATATTATCAGTGGGATCAGGTAAAAGTACCATATTTTGTACAAGATACTGAAGCTGCTAGGAGAGATATTGCTGCACAATACACAACAATTTCTCGTTTAGATCAAGGTAATGAACGAGAAATTTTTATTATGAAAATATATATAAATCAATTAGATAAATTTAAGTGTAACGTAGAATTTATTTTTCTTCATAAAATCTCTTATAGCAGTATTTTTTCTTTTTTTTTTTTATATTTTTGTAGGCGTAGGCTTGGTTTTAAATGAGCTTAAAGATGCAGGTTTTAAAGATAATACTTTAATACTTTATACATCTGATAATGGGATTCCATTTCCTAACGGCCGTACTAATCTATATGATTCTGGTATGTTCAGTAAATAACATGATATAAATGCAGATAACATGTCAATTAAAAAATTAATAAAATTAATAAAATTAATTTTTTAATTGATAATAAGGTATGGCAGAACCTATGATGATTTCATCACCTATCCATAAAGAACGAAGAAATCAAGTAACATATGCTATGACATCTCTACTGGATGTAGTACCTACTTTGTTAGACTGGTATAATATATCTTATACAAATGAAGCATTGAATAAAAATGAAATTTTTCTACCAAATCTTACAGGCAGATCTCTTCTTCCACTCCTTGTTAAAGGTAAATAATATATTATATAACGTATAAGTTTTATTATAAATATATTTATAAATCTACAGAGTCACAGGAGGAGAGATCAATTTTTGCTAGTCAAACTCATCATGAAGTTACTATGTATTATCCTATGCGTGTGATTAGAACTAAACGCTATAAATTGATACATAATTTAAATTATAAAATGCCTTTTCCAATCGATCAAGATTTATATATATCTCCAACTTTTGAGGTAATCTCTTTAAATAAGTTATAGATTTGTTACAGACTATTGAAAATATAATTTTCATTATTTAATTAATGTTTAATTTACTTTTTTCTTTTTTTTTTTTATAAAAGGATCTTTTAAACAGAACATATAATAAACAACCTCTTCCGTGGTATAAAACATTAAAGTCGTATTATCAAAGACCAGAATGGGAATTATATAATTTAAAATATGATCCTGAAGAAAGGAACAATATATTTTCGAAGCCATCGATGAAGGTAAAATAAATCCAAATATTTATTTATATTATTAAACAAAAGTTTTAATTCAGAAAATATTTTTTTAGGGCATAGTGACTAATTTACAAAAACAATTGTTCAATTGGCAGAATGTTACTAATGATCCATGGTTATGTGTTCCACATGGAGTCTTACAAAATACTGGTGATCATATAAATAATCCACAGTGTATGCCCTTATATAATATAGATTAGAAGATATGATCTTTTTCTTTTTTACTCATTAATTTTGTTACGTCCTAAATAATATAATCTGGTGGTAAATAGAAAGTTTATTTCTACATTTTATATTTAATCTATATACATATTTACAAATATACAAAAATATTTAAAAAATATCTTGTTACATCTCTTTGATTTATTTCAGCTTGTTTCTCCTCGTATTAATTTTGCTATTCGTGATAGCGAAGCATTTTTCATATCTTTTTCACGATGTTTAAAAAGTATCTCATTTAAATGATGTACATATATCGACGATTTATTGGCAGTCTTTTCAACCATCTTCAATTCTTTGGATATTTCATTGATCTAGTAAAAATATAAATTGCCGTCAGATAAAAGTCGAATGATTATAATTATTAAAAAGTTTAAGGAAAAGTAAATGGAAAAATCATACATATTGTTCGTATCCTAAATAACGATTATATTTTTGATTATTGATATAAATTTGTTTGATTTGAATTGTTAACACAAGACATAGAAGAAGGCCACCCAGTAAAATAAAGGAATTTGTATTTTGAATTCCACGAAGAACAAGCATCACACTTTTTTGTTATATTAAATCCAATATTTATATACCTATAATGTTAATGAATTTTATATACAATAACAATATTATTTTGTTAATAATAAACACAAATTCATAGTTTTAAATAACAAAGAAATACCTCAAAATATATTTTTACAGTATAATTTCAATTTCGCACATTTTCGAATTAAAAAAAAAGTAATAATAACAAATTATAATGGACCGTGAGTCAAAGAAATTTTTGATCGACGCTTAACATAAATAATTAATGTAGAGGTTATGTACGTCTTATACATTTCTGCATGGATCTGTATACAGTGTATATATAATAACGCTATGTATGTGTAAGTGTAGATATTCCTTATGAAATAAATTTATTAAGAATCGATAAATTAATGAATAGAAATCAATAATTAATATCGTATTAGTAGAATTATATGATTTTTAAATCATTCAATATAGATATATAACTGATAGGATTTATGGAATATTTTTCTTTAATAATAATTCATTTTTGAACTCATAAATAGTTATCATTTTGACTACTCGATAGCGCCACAATCGTGGTGCATATATTTTAGTTTCTGTTCATTTTGTCTAGTATTCCATGGTACAAGGTCTGATATTGAAAATGGCAAATGGCAAGGCAGTCTGAGGCCAGTTTAAGTAAACATTTGTGCATTAGTTTTCTTGATCGGTTAAATGTGCCATCATAACAATGTAATGTGGACTGTGTGCGATGGCGAACAGAGAAATAACCGGCCATCAGCAACAGTTCATTGAAGAAATTGATTACACTGAAATTGAAAGAGAGCAGGTAGTTTTCTATTCAATCATATTGCGTTCGTTTATGTTTTTTTATAGATTTCCTGTTAACGAGTTCATCGGGAGATTTGTAACATTTTGGAATATTAGTTAATAAAAATTTTGCTTTATTTGTAATATATCGTTTCTACGAAGCAGAATATATTTATAATCAAAAATAACCTCAAATATTAATTTTTTGAACCGTGCACTTTTCGCTAAGTATATTGCTATCCACGAATAAGTAATTTATTATATATATATATATAATAAATTTATATAATTTATACATATTTACATATATGTATAAAACTGTGCAAGTGAAATTTATTATTATATTATAATGATAGCTTGATTCGTTTTATGGTTTTAACGACAGGTAGTTGGTAAGGGATCCTTTGGAGTTGTATGGAAAGGAAAGTGGCGAGGTCAATATGTTGCTGTAAAACATATAAATTCAGAGGGTGAAAGAAAAGCTTTCACGGTAGAAGTAAGGCAATTGTCAAGAGTCTTTCATCCTAATATTGTCAAATTATATGGTGCGTGTACTAAAAATCCAGTATGTTTGGTAATGGAATATGCAGAAGGTGGATCATTATACAATGGTACTCTATATTATAATTATTTCTTTTTTCTTTTCTTTTTTTTTTTTCTTTTTATGTATATGTAAAAATTATATCTCTTTGTATATACATTATAGTTCTTCATTGTAATCCACAACCGCGCTATACTGCTAGTCATGCAATGAGCTGGGCTCTTCAATGTGCACGTGGTGTAGCATATCTTCATAATATGAAGCCTAAACCATTAATTCATAGGTAAATTAGATGAAATCCTTTTGATTAAGTTAATATAGAAGAAACTAAATGTATATTTATAATTAATAGGGATTTAAAGCCACCAAATCTATTGCTAGTCATGGGTGGGCAAACGCTTAAAATTTGTGATTTTGGTACAGCCTGTGATTTGAATACTTATATGACTAACAATAAAGGTTCAGCAGCATGGATGGCACCGGAAGTATTCGAAGGTTCAAGATATACCGAAAAATGTGATGTATTTAGTTGGGGCGTCATTTTATGGGAAGTTCTTTCACGTAAAAAACCTTTCGATGAAATTGGTGCATCAGCGTATAGAATAATGTGGGCTGTGCACATAGGCCAGAGACCACCATTGATAGAAGGTTGTCCAAGACCCATTGAAGAATTAATGACCAGGTGAGATAATTATAGCAAAGTATCATATAATGTTTGAAAATGTCTGTATTCCATTTCTGCGCTATCATAATTTTTGAAACGTGTTAATGTCAGATGTTGGCAGAAATGTCCAGAAGACAGACCTTCGATGGATGAAGTGGTGAGAATTATGACGATTCTATTTGAATTTTTCGACAATAATTTAGACCCTGTTGAATATTCCTTGGGTATGTTATATTATTAAATAATTGTATTCACATTGTATTATTAACAATTTTTTAACATTAGAATTATATAAATATATATATATATATAATTGAGCAGGTAGCGAAGCAGATGATATCGATGGTAATGAAGATACGAAAGATGATATTTTAGATATGGTAACGACCTTAGATACTCGGATAAATGGATCAGTTATGAATGGAACAATATGTCCAAATGTTACATCATCTGTCAAACAAACGGATGATGGAACGGATGATGAACTTAATTCGTATCCAGTAACTTCTCAACAGTCCCCTAACAATGCATTAACGCATTCCTCATCGCAAATAAAGAGATCAATACCGCAATGTAATCCTATAATATCCCAAAGTATATCATCCATCGATAATACAAATCGTAACGTGAAAGACGCTCTATACACGACACCAATAATACAACGAGGCGATAGACAATTTATTTTACCACAAAGTGAATCCAGTATGACCCCGTTACACGTTAACTGTGATACGGTTGGTACCCTGATGCTTAAAAATAAAAAAAAAAAAAGAAAGACAAAGAAAAAAAAAGAACAAAGAAAAAGTAATTCTCATTTTGTTATATTTTAGGATGCATGGGAACTTAGTAATTTTTCAGATTCGTCATGGGAGATTCGTAATATGGCTGGTTTAGATAAAATGGTACAAAAGACAAAGAAAACAATTCGTGGTAAGTATTCTAGCCATGTTCAATTAACAGATTTAACGATAACTATATATTCATTAATCCTTTACCAATAAGTTTTTAACAAATTTAAATTCCCTCTTTAATTTCCTTAAAAATAGATATAATAATGAATCGATAATATAATTACCCATGTCCGTGTGTGATACGAGGATTTACGATCGATACGAATATCATTTAAGATGGATTTTGTGTTTATTTTTGTTAGACGTCAATCGTAAAATTTCCTTTCGATTCATTTCCGGTATCATAAAATCCGCATCAATCCATCGATAAAACCTGGTAGCAGAAATGATCGAGGATATTTTTGAGCATTTGAGCATTTGCAATGAGGAACATTCACAAAATGCAATCACAGTGTGATGTGGTGAATACGTAAAAGAGAATATCTTGAATTCAAACAACGTTTAAAAGTGACCATGAATAATAATGATTTTATTCAGATACACACATTGAGTTACTATTATCTTCTGGTAAATATCTGGATCGAATAATTTATAGATCGAAGTAGAATCTTTCCGAGGATTTTACTTTAATTACAAAGGGGAAAAAAAAAAAAGGAAAAAAGTCAGAATTATGAAGAAGAAGAAAATCTGCGATAATGTCGGGAGCATTACGAGATGAGATGTGATAAAAAAAAAAAAAGAAAGAAAGAAAGAAAAGAAGAACAAAAAAATAAGAAAGAAAAACAAAAAGAAATAGAGAATGATGCCGTTGAAAAAT